GAAGGAGAACAACGTGGGAGAGATTTACAAGCATTTGCACCACCGCAATCATATTTTCTGGATTATACCAGCACTTCCTGCAAAATTTTAATCAATTAAAATTTAATCAATTAAATCAATTAAAAAGTAGGCTAGCAACTTTATTTGCCCTTGAGCGTGATAGAATTGAATAACTGAATAGCCTCTTCCTGCGTTTTTGTAATTTTTCTTCTTTTTATAATATGAAGTACTTGTTTATTTTTATTCCAAACAAACCAAACCAAAACAAAACACTTGTGGAACAAAGAGCATGTGTATATTGGTGCCCAAAGATATGCTAACTGAATATGAAGCAAATGTAATATTTAGAAAATGTAACCCCAAACTAACATCAGTTTAACTCATACTCTTACTGAAGTCGAGACACAATTCTTTTTTCTGGGCATGCAAAACATTTGGGAAATACAGACACTCATCTGTGAATCATAAAGGCATATAGCAATTTACTGTTTTACCATATGTTAGCTATTCATCAGTGCAGTGAACTGTCCTCTCATTCATGCTTGGAAAAATATCATAGTAGTTACACACCTGATGGCTCAAGTATCTTTATTTTTAGATGGCACTACAATAAAAGTCTAAAAGTTACAAAGATCAAAAAGTTTTGATCTAGAGACATTGAGCTGTCACTGAAATTTTATTAGATTTTGTAATCGCTCATTGCTTTCCATGAAACCTGGGTATGCACAACTGCAAGCGTTTGAATAATGTGATGCACAGCTGTGGGCTGGCTTCCTTAACCAACTCATGGTGCTTAGTGATCCTGACGATGCTGATGAGCTACTGCAGAACACAAAGAGGTTTTCTACCTCTTTGTAGAGGTCCTTTTCATTAAAGTGTAGGGAACATTATCAAGAGTCAGATGATTCAGAGAGGCATCCAGACAGAAGACAAGTTGCAATGAATATAACTTGAAAGATTTCTATTGGAAACAGGTTAAAAGTTTTTCCCTGTTAAAACATTCAGGCATTGAAACAGACAACCCCAAAAAGTTGTACAGTCACCATCCTTAGAGGTGCTCTGAGCAAACTGGCCCTTCCACTCTGAATAACTCTATCATTTTATGGCTTTCTTCTGTACCATTATTTGACTCTAATTAACATTCCATTCATGTTTTCCACATTATAAAAATAAGATTGAAAAAAGATATATGTATTTTTTGCTTATTTTTCTTTTCACCATACATACCCAACTATACTATTGCCCTTGAACAGCAAGGTAATCACTCATGCAAGCGATTACAACAGCAACAGATACTCAGTAACAGAAGTTTATTTTTTTTTAATCTTCCTTTAGCCCAGCAGGATGTTGATGTTAGTATTCTCGTGGATCTTATGCTCAAGCACTTCATTTTGGATATTTCCAACATTTTCTTCATTATCACCGAACGTTAGATACAATTTTTTTTTCAGGACTTGAAAATTTTTGTGGAAGCAATTAGTCTGAAGGAGGAAACTGTTAGTACATGCAGTCAAGCTCCTTGATTTGCTAAGTTTAGCAACACTGAGATACCGAGAGCCTACAGGAAGCTTCCTGACAATGCGTTCCTCATCAGGACCTGATGTACTCTAATCCTCAAATTCCAGATGCATCTCCTACATAGGAACTTGTCTATATCCTTCTCTGGACTTTCTTCATTCTTCATTAGGATGATGGAGGAGAAATTTACTGAAGTAACTAATATTTTCCTCTCAGAACTCCACTGCTATGGGAATCAAGAGCAGCCAAGACGAGAACCTGAGTTTCCTTACTTTGATTATCTCAGTAAAGCAAATAGTATGCCTCACCAAGAGACATGAATGCATCTGCCTGCTGAAACCTGGAACTATGCTTTCTACATAAAAAATTATTTATTCTCAGAATAGATGTGCAAGTGAAAAAAACGATCCAGGTCCTGTCTTCTGCTCCAGTGTAAGAGAACAGATGAGGCATGAGAGACTATAGCTACTGATTTGTTCCACTGCTTGCAGAGAAACAGCTCATTTCTTTCTGTATTATGCAAAAGACCAGAAGTGATGGGAGGAAGCAGAGCCTTGTTACCATCTCCCGACATGTTCAGAGGTGTAACTAATCACTGGACTGGGAAACGTATGAGGTGATACATAAAATATTTCCTAGGCAAGTAAAACACCAGAAGAGAAAGGGCTGCTTGAAGAAATACATTCTTCTTTCTGGCCAGCCAAGAAATGGGGTGGAAGTGCTCAGAGCCATCACGAACTGCTAGTGACCAATACAATTAAGAATCAAGAAACTGAGAAATAAAGCTAGTCAAGTTAAGAAAGAAACATTTTACCATCATGCTTCAGCCACTCATTCTTTAGGTAACAATTTTTTAAACAAAACACATAAAGTTGAGTTAAATACGGCAATGTTGCTAGAAGTGGGGATGCACCCTTTTCCAAATATTTGAAAATTCCCAAGTTCCATTAGCATTTAATGAAATCCAAACCTCTCGGCTTTAAAAATCTCAGTTGACTCTTTCCCTTCCATTCAAATGATTATAAATGTTAAACTTCTTAATTCTTCAACTGTAAGTTGTTCTGAAAAATGCAGTAACAATACAGAAAATAAAAGCATAAATGATTAATAAATTATTCAAATATGAAGGCTGCCATTCTATTGTCTACATGGAACAGTAATAGCAAAAATACTAATCTCCTAGATGTTAATATTGATTTATTAGATTTCAATTCACTGTCAAAAATATGCATCAAAAATGTAGCACAGAGGATCATTAAAATATTAAAAGAATAAAAATGAGAGAAAACTGAAGATTCATTCAATTTGATCCTATTGAATTTGAACTATTTCACATCTTTATTAAAACTTGCCTAATTAGAAGAAATAAAATATAATGACAAAGATTAGTAATTGTAAAAATTTCATTATTAGGAGGAGTTGTGGACCTGTGGGGGGGGGGGGAAATACATTTTGGCAATATGAAATACTATTATATGAATAAAAGAGAAAATATGACTTGCAGACACACAAATTCAACAAAGTGTAATAATTTCTACTGCAAGGACTACTGGCAATCTCTATTATGAAACTGTGTATTACATATTGCCCGGTGGGAGACAGATAGGCAAAGTCTGTTTACTTATATATTTGGCATAATGGAAAATAAACAGGTGTTTGTTAGTATATCATTATTCAAGGAGCACCACTGCAAAATAGATTTTTCAAAGGAATTGACTCATGAGAAATAATGTAAACAGTGAAGTCTAGATCTCAGCTAGCTCTACAATGGCTATGCAGGGATTTAATAAGAGCAGAAATACTGTAAGATGTAAACAGCAGCCCCAGAAATATATTTGCTAGGATATAACACAGTGAGTTAATAGGAGCAACAAGGAAAACTTTAGATCCTAAACTTTATTTAGAGTATATTAAAGTAAATAAAAAAACACTGCCCCTCTCCTCCCATAGAAGCTCCCTAACAGTGAAAAGAATGAAATGATTGGATAGTTTTCTGTAAAATGAATCTCAGATGCCCGGGGTATTTCAATCAAAAAGGAATAACACTAACAATTAAATATACTGAAGATATACTGTAGGGATGAACCCCCTATTGATCTATGCAGTACGTATTTCATCCCTATGTTACTACTGTGATAAAAATAATTTCTGCTTGGGAAATGTGACAATACAAAATATTCTTGGAGCATCCGGAAATATATGGAGATTCAATTGATAAGTTCAGCTCTGATTTAAACCATTTAATGTATTTTGGTATTTACTATGATTTAAAAGTAGATCCCATATTTGTCCTGTAAATGCAACAGCTCTAGAGGTGATACTGTTCATAGCCTTTGATAGAAGACAGTTATAACACTGTAGAGATGGCTGCTTTGGAACTCCTTTGTTCTTATTCCTGGTTCTAATTAATAAAATAAATTAATTGTTTTGTAAGTCTTTAGAGCCTTAAAAGAGCATGATTGTATTTTGAATACAATCTTCATAAAGATTACATACCATAATGCTGCTAAATCAGTTACTTACAGAGAACTGCTAAGAACACATAGCAAACAGTGCTCTTCACCCTAATTCAGCAAGCAGCAGGGAAGAAGAAACTTCTGTATTGCAATAAGCAAAAGATGTTCTTTTTGATTGTTAATCAACAATTCTTGCTTCCATGGATAATTTAAAAGGTCACTACATGAAAAATAGAGATTTCCTCATCCTTGGCTACTTGCACTGTTTCATCTATTAACAAGCACAATTGTTCCTATGTCACGTGGCTAAACACCTGTTCATCTGACAAGATTTTGGAATGGGCATCAGTGGTACAATTGATACAACAAAAACATTCTCAGGATTTGGATCTACATCAGAATTTTAGAGAAGACATTGATACTTCAAAGTTTTGTACATAAATATTGGCTGATGGCAGCCAGTATTGTCTCACCTTCTCTTCATTATTTTTCTTATGGCACATTCTTATTATCCAAAATAACCATTGCACAGTCTTTTTCCTTCCCTCCCCCCCAAGAAAAAAATGAAAACATCATATTTATTTTTATTTCTTTACACAGACAAGCACTGGCATATTATGAGACTTCTTGTTTATTAAACCAAAGTTGCGGTCAAGTAAGAAAAAGCAACACAACTCCATCTTCTGCAGAAAATACAGAATGCACAACAGTCCTGGATTCAAAAAAAAAAAGTAACAATTAAAAAAATAATCACTGTTAACGTAGACCTTTTGAACATTTTTGTAGAACAGTCCAATATAGGGGCTTTTTTTTTTTTTCCTTCCATAAAATATTCTTTTAGGACAAAGATGCAAGTAAAAACATTGAATGATCCTTTAACATTACTTACTTACAAATGTTCACAAATACCACATTTACCTTAACAAGAGCTAGTCGGAAAATTTACAGTATAATGGGGCTTAATTCATAATAATGTCCTTTGTCACAAAACAGGAAAAAAAATAACAGCCGTTAACACTAGCTTACTTGTGGATGTGTATACTAGTGAACTGGGGGCACTGTACACGGGAGATCCCTCCTGGTTTGCCTGGCACAGCAGCACCCTGCCTACAAGAGAGAGAGAGAAAGTGGTATCTGGTTTTGGAACACTCAAACTAAACCTCAGTTTTATCTCAAAACAGAAATAAAGCCATAACTGAAGCAGTGCAGTGAAGCAGAGGCCCTTAATGTCCTTTAATTTCACCAAACAGAAAGAGCCCCAGTAAGCATGTAAAATTTTACATCGGAAAAAGCAAAACACAGACACCCCCCCAAATCCAAATGCCCTTTTTATCACATAGGGAAACTGGCACAGGCTGTGTTCGTTAGCAGCACATCCAAGTCCCTCACCCTGCTGCAGCTGCTCTCTCCCTCTATGCCCTGCAACTCCAAAGCCTCAGGAGCCCTGCTGTGAGCTTCTGCAAAGCTCCCCCACCAACCACTGCTTCTCATCCCCAAACTCTGGCTGAGATGAGAGGCTACCGAGCAAACACAACAGATAAATCAGACTGCAAAGCTCATACGTACAGACCAAGAATGATCTCAGTTATGTTACTTAAATTAGCACTGGCGTGAGAGAAAACAAAATATGACTCTACATGTAAAAATTTCAGTGTTCTTTGCATGAATGAGAAATACTTAAACATATTCTGTGTTCCACTGTACAAGGTGGATTGAGGATTAAGAACAAAACAGAAGAAAGAAAACCATCAAAAAAAGGGGGAAAAATAAAGTGGAAATAATAAACAAATCAATTTAAAACGGCTCTTCTTTGATGCATTTTCATTTTCAAGAAATCAACAAAGTTTAGAATTGTTTTGCGTTTGTTTTAATAAATTTAAATCAAATACCTTGCTATTTCAGCATCTTTCTCTAGTGGTTATACCCTAGCATTCTTAGATGAATAAAGATTGTTTAACGTAATTCTTTATGGTAGGAAAAAGCCTCTCCACCTGCACACCTCCAGGAGGAGCAGGCTGTGACACATCTGTTTTTGCAGATACATTTACATCTATATATACAATATACAAATGTATGAACATACACTGATGTACTTTAAGCTGCCAGAATGTGTGAAACACACAGTTCCAAATATATTAAAATTACCTGAAAAATTTCTGAGACAATTAAGAGAAGTCATGCACTGACTTGCAGGCAAAGTAACTCAATAGATCAGAAGTGGCTGATCTAACAAGAGCAACCCTCAAACTACATTCAGTTACCACCTGATTTATTTCAAAAACAAGTTTGCAAATACTTTTCTACCATTAACCCTTTTTTGAACTGTCACTTGCAGCTGTCAAATGAGCTGGAAATATGCAGAATAATGAAAAAAAAAAAAAATCTGCTAATTGCAACAACTTAGCTAAGTGTGCAAGTACTGGAAATCTCATGAAACTTTGGGCTTTCAAATTCTCAGACCATAGTATAAACTTCATTAATGGGCTTTGCAGATACTTGCTTTTTTTTTTTTTTTGTGCATGTGTGCATTTTGCTATTTTTTCAGCCATTCAATACTAGTCCTTCTGTTTGTTTTGTCCTATATGAGTGGCTTTTTAGTTATTAAGAAAGAACTATCTGTGTTACTGGAAGCCGTGAAATAAAGGAACATACACCTGTAGAGATTAGAGATTCCAATGGCAAGCCCAAATTTTCAGACTGGCAGATGACCAACAGTAGGAAACACTGGAATATGAATGTATTTAACACCATATAGATGCTTCAAAATGTGTGCTTCTACAGAAGCCTGAAAAATATGAACTGAAGGTATAAACGAGTTCATCCAGCGGAGTGAAATGAAAAAAAGGGAAGGAACCATCAAAAACAGTAATTTTCATTATGTTTTAAAAATACTTTAAGTATCATGACTTCAAGAATACTTAGCAAGTACAGAATGCTAATGATTTTCAAAAATTGAGGATTATATTTCATATATATTATCCAACAAATTAAATTTTGCTTTTTCCACGGTGTGCAGCTAGAGATGTTATTATTCCTTGCAGTTAACATTCTTATTAAAATTTCTCTGTTGCGATCGCATAACAGTCCAAATTTCCTTTCTCTAGGTTTATTTACAATGAAATGCTTTAAAATGGGTGTTTTTTTCATCCATGCTACCAGATGTTGTAATTGTATTTGGACATTCTCCCTTTGAATTTGTACATACAATTATCAGTTAAGTCACCATTATTAGTTTTTGGGAAAAAAAATATGGAACTTCTAATCTAATTTTGTGAGAAAAATTAACTTCTACTTCTCATTTTTTGTATTAAAAACACTTAAATTTTTATTAGTAGACCAGGGTAAAGACTGAACTGTTTTCAATAAATACTTCTGTGAAAACCTCAGAACATGAAAATAGTCAGTGAATTTCCTAATGAAAAAAAAAAAAAAAAGCTTTTTTTCTTGAGTACTGAATTCTGCCATGATAGAATGAAGATTTTTTTTAAGAAAGAGGATTTTAACATAAAGCTATTAATATTTTTTTTTTCAAACTATAATTGAATAATATTGTGGAGCTGATGAACTTCAAAAAAAATGATAGTCATGCAAGAGTTCATTCTTAATTCTGCAGTCCCTTCTGTAGCAGCATACTTTGAGCTGATACTTTCTCATTAAGAAGCATCTGAACTGCTTTTCCACTTCTTTCTATTATGAGCATTTACATATTTGGTGACTAGTGGTAAGGGATTTTGGAGATCATCAGCTGAAAGCCTCTCCTGTCCCTGTCAAAAGGCTCAGAAAAAAAAAAAAAAAATAGCACACGTATTTGAAGAGTGTATTCACTAGAGGCACACTGTGGCTCAGAGGAGAGCTTTGGACAGACCCATGGCAGAAAGGAAGCCGGGACAGCCTGGCTGCTAGGTGTTATGGTAGGAGAGCAGCACGCAGTGGATGAGCCATGGGCTGTCCTGCACACAGCTGCAGGCAGCTGTGCTGGAGCAGGCCATGCTGGCAGCACATGATAAAACTGCATATAACCCCCCAGGAGAGGTGCATCACTCATCCTTGGCTTAACGGCAGGCAGCACGCACAAAAATGTACTTCCCAAGCTCACACTTCAATGTTTTCTCCTACAGCCCAAGATTAAGAATATATAGCTTGATTAGGTCCTTTGTTTAAGAATTATAGTTATTTTGAGGAAATAATTACTCCAAAAATATTCAGAGCAGTGAGAAAAATTATTTGAAATCATTAATATTTTCAAGATGCTAAAAATTCAGTTCCAAATCATTCGAAGATATGGAACTAGAAGTATTTTTCTCATTTTTTCATACTTTCAAAAATAAGTTTTTTTGTATAGTTCCTATTCTCGTGACTTATACAAATTCATCTGTAGAGCATAAGCAGAAATGTAAATGTAATAACCCACAGACTACTTCCTCATACGAGGACTACTGCAAAGTTCACGGTATTTTGTGAACACTCAGGTAGCTCAAGAGTAATTAGCCTGACCAGGAATCCATCAACAATGGAAGGACTTCCCAGAAATTTATAAGGGATCAGTTCTGTCAAAAAATAGTTTCTTGGTCAGACTGGAACCACTCTTTAACAAGCAGTACAGATAATTTAAAAGTAAAGATCTGGAATAAGCTTAAAAGAGTTTGCACAACTGGCTGGAATATGGCATCCTTTGAGCAAGTAAAAATTGAAACAACATTTTTAGAAGAAAAATTCAAAACATTTTTTTTAAATATGGTGCTGAAGCAAACAAAATCGATAACGTAGCAATACCTTGACCATGGGAATAGCTGTCTTTTGTCCAATAAAGAAGACAGAACTTTCAGAAATCTTCACTAACAATTGTATAAAGTTCATAAACAGTTACCAAGAACCCGAGGTCACAGTGCCTCAGCTCCCACTACCTTTATTTAGTACATCTGCTCCCAAGCAAAAAGTTTGCTGTTCACAGTGCTGTTATTTACTCTGCAAGAATCTTTAGAGAGTTACAAAATAGAAGAGGACAGAGTAGTATTCCATGAACATCCAGGGCAAAAACATGACACAAGTGCAAGAACACAGGCATTTTCAGTGGCAGAAATTAAGTCGATATTCAGGGCTGGTCTCCATTGACTATTTGTGCACATATAAGTAAAATGAGAACTTACAATACAAATCCAGGGTTACTGCACACAAGGAGATTTTGTGAAGATTGTGCCACTCTTATCTGTTGCACACTCAGCTCCCTTGGTAAAGAAGCTCTTCATTATACACATTTATTCTACTCTTACCAATAGGACTATCTTCCTGCTTTTGGCAACCAAGCACCAGGTTGGTTGCTAAAATGTAAAAAAGAATATTTGTATCATATTTTATCTGAGTTATCATAGAATGTTAATTTATAGCTCTAATATAGAAGTTGCATTGCTTTTTAAATTCAACAATTTTTATTTCATTTCCCCTTTCTTCCAATACAGCTGGGTGGTATATAGATCAATTTAGTTCCTGGGCTAGTTTTCAGTCATTCCGATCCCTGTTTTCCTTCTGCCTTCTGCAATAAGTGTTATTCCTGTACTCTCAATGATGTCTATTATACCTATACTTTTCATTTCTCTTCCATGTACAAGATCTGAAGAAACTATGAGGCTGTATCTCTCAAAAACATGTCAGCATGTTTGTTAGTTAACGGAGACCTCATAAACAAACCATGTCAGCACCTGATTTGCTGTTTTAAAAGTATAATTAGGCCTTTCCAGCCACAAATAGCATTACTTTTGTGCTGCAAAGAAACACTGTTCTTTGATGAGTTATTTCAAATACGCCACAGAAATGGATAAAGAAGACCTAACTAAAAAGGCCATTGGTATACAATAATACTGAATGTTAGCATCCATCATCCCGTCTGACTAAGGAGTTTGAAGAGCTTCATATATACCGGTTGGTAAGTGTTAGCTTAGCACTTCATTATCAACAGTCAAACTCCATGGCATTAGTAGACTTTTAAGTATGTTTACAAAAAAGTGCTTCTTGAATGCCACTGGTTACTAGTGAACTTTCTGTAAACAGAATAGTCCTCCTTCAGATTTTAACACAACCATTCCTGGATGCCTGTGTTGATTATTTAAATA